CGCCGCCACCCCCCCCCCCCCCCCTTTTTTTATTATCATTTGACAAACTATGTATTTCGTTGTTTACTGTCTCCTCCCACCAAAATGTGAGTTCCACATGCAGAACTCTCACGCTAGTAACCTTTGTCTGTCTTGGTCCCAGTCCTAAACCCCTCACAGCTATAATAGTACCTGACACATTATAGGCACTCAATAGCCTTTTTTTTTAATGAATCTTCACACTCTGTATGGTAAAATTATTCCCGTTTTATAAAACAAGGGAACTAAAGTTCCAAGAGGCTCAGTAACCCGACCCAGATCCCTCAGCTAGAAAGTAATTCCCACTGGAATACTCCGGCCCACCCCCCAAGGGTCTCCCCAAATATAGCATTTAACTGGATTTTAGATGGTTCCCAGATCAGCTTTTAAAAACACAAGAATATGAATGGCAAAAATAAATAAATAAATCTCAACCTAAACCTTGTACCTTATCCAAAGATTAACTCAAAATGGATTATGGACTTAAGTGTAAAAAGTAAAACTATTTTATCCCTAGCCAGTTTGGCTCAGTGGATAGGGCATCAGCCTGTGGACTGAAGGGTCCCAGGTTCAATTTCGGTCAAGGGCACATGCCGGGGTTGCGAGCTCGATCCCCAGTGGGGAGAGGGGGCGTGCAGGAGGCAGCCAATCAGTGATTCTCTCTCATCATTGATATTTCTATCTCCCCATCTCCCTTCCTCTCTGAAATCAATAAAAATGTATATTTTAAAAAAAACACTATTTTTACACTTTTAGGGGGGGGAAAACACAGGAGAAAATCTTTGGAATCTAGGGTTAGGCAAGGAGTTCTTAAACTTGACATCAAAAGCACAATTAATAAAAGAAAATTTTTATAAATAGGCCTCATCAAAATTAAAAGTGGTTGTTCTGTGACAGACCAGGTAAAGAGGATAAAAAGACAAGTTAAAAGCTGGGAGAAAAGTATTTCCAAACTACATATCCAACAAAAGGACTAGTATCTAGAATGTGTAAATACCTCTCAAAACTCAACAGTAAAATATGAATAATCCACTCAGAAAATGGGCAAAGACACAAACAATTCACCAAAGAGGAATGCAGATGGCAAATAGCACATGAAAAGATGTTCAACATCACTAGGCATTAAGGAGATGCAAATTAAGACCAGGATGGCATATTACTATACACCTCTCAAAATGGCTAAAATGACAAAAATTATGACACCACCAAATTTTGGCAAGGATGCAGAAAATTGAATCACTCATACATTGCTGGTGAAAATGTAAAATATATAGGCATTCTGGCAGTTTCTGATAAAACTAAATATGCCCTTAGCATATGACCCATCAGCAGAGTCCTTGGGCATTTATCCCAGAAAAATGAAAGTTTATGTTCATGAAAAACCGATACACAAATGCTCATAGCAGCTTTACTTGTAATAGCCAAAAAGTGGTACCAGTCCAGATGTCTTTCAACCGGTGAAAGGTTAAACAAAGTGTGGTATATCCATATCATAGAATACTACTCAGCAATAAAAAAGAATAAATTACTGATATACACAACAACCTGGATGAATCTCCAGGGAATTATATTGAACAAAAAAAAACCAATCTCAGTGCCAAGACAATTCAATGGGGAAAGAATAATCTTTTCAATACATGGTTCTGGGCCCCTAGCTGATGTGGCTCAATTAGTTGAGCATCATCCCATGCACCAAGAGGTTAAATTCCTGATCAGGGCACATGCCTGGGTTTCAGGCTCGATCCTCAGTAGGGGGTGGACAGGAGGCTGCTGATAGATATGTCTCTCTCCCTCTCCCTTCCTCACTCTCTAAAATCAATAAAAACATATATAAAAACTGCTAAAGTCATCTTCTAAAGTAAATAAATTAAATAATAAATAAATAGTGTTGGGACAACTGGACATCCACATGCAAAAGAATAATGCTGGGCCGAAACCGGTTTGGCTCAGTGGATAGAGCGTCGACCAGCGGACTGAAAGGTCCCAGGTTCGATTCCGGTCAAGGGCATGTACCTGGGTTGCGGGTATTAAAAAAAAAAAAGAAGAATGCTGGACCCTTACCTCACACCATATACAAAAATGAACTCAAAATGGATCAAGGGCCTAAATGTAAGAGCTAAAACTATAAAACTCCTAGAAAAAATAGAGGTAAATCTATTAGGTTAGGCAGTAGTTTGTTATTTTTGTTTTAGATGGGACATCAAAAGCACAAACAATAAAAGAAAAAATATATAAATTGGGCTTCATCAGAATTAAAAACTTTTGTGCTTCAAAAGACACCATCAAGAAAGTTAAAAGACAACCCACAGAATGGAAGAAAATGTTTGCAAATACATCTGATAAAGGTTTAGCATCTATAATATATGAAGAACTAGAGGCCCAGTGCACAAAATTCTGCACTCGGGGGGAGGGACCCTCAACCCGGCCTGTGCTCTCTCTCAGTCCAGGACCCCTCGCTCCTTACCACCCGCCTGCTCGCTGCTCCTTAGCACTGCTGCGGAGGCGAGAGAGGCTCCCGCCACCGCCATTGCACTTGTCAGCTGTGAGCCCAGCTTCTGGCTGAGCGGTGCTCCCCCTGTGGGAGCACACTGACCACCAGGGGGCAGCTCCTGCAATGAGCATCTGTCCCCTGGTGGTCGATATGCTGATTAGCCAATGGGAAGGGTAGCGGTCGTACGCCAATTACCATGTTTCTCTTTTATTAGTGTAGATTCCTACAACTCAATAACAACAACAAACTTAAAAATAGGTAAAGGGTTTGAGTAGATACTTCTACAGAGAAGACATACCAATGACCAATAAGCACATGAAAAAAATGTTCATTATCATTAACCATCAGGGAAATGCAAATCAAAACCTCAATGAGATACCACTTCATACCCCCTAGGAGGGTTATTAATAAGAAGACAGATAATAAATGTTGACAAGAATATAGAGAAATTGAAACCCTCATATACTACTGATAGGAATGTAAAACAGTGCAGCTGTTCCTCAAAGGTTAAACATAGTTACCATATGAAATATACTCTATATAACCAGAAGAAATAAAAACATATGTCCACCAAAAACCTGTACATGAATATTCATAGCAAAACTGTTCATAATAGCCAAAAAGTATAAACAATCCAAATGTCCATCAACTGGTGAATGGATAAATTATGGTATTGTCCATATAACAGAATATTATTCAGCAATAAAAAAGGAATCGAGTACTGATATATACCACAAGGTGGATAAACCTTAAAAACATTATCCTAGGTGAATGGAGCCAGTCACAAAAAATAACTGTATATTGTAAGATTTCATTTATATAAACTGTTCACAAAAAGGTAAATATGGATTTTTGTAAATATAAGCACATGAAGAAAGCCACACCGACAAAGTAAATGAGTGGTTGCCTGGTGTTGGAGGTGTTAGGAAGAAATGAGGGGTGGACTACTAAAAGATACAAGGTTTCCTCTGGGGATGATGAAAATGTTCTAAAGTTGATTGTGGTGATGGTTGCACAACTCTGTGAATATGCTAAAATCCACTGAATTGTACATTCTAATGATTGAATTGTATGAGATGTGAATTATATCTCAATAAAAATGGTACCAAATTTAAAAATCAATTCCAAAAGGTTATATACTGTATGATTTCATAAATTATATAACTTTTTAAATATGTTTTTATTGATTTTAGAAAGAGAAGAAGGGAGAGGGAGAGGAAGATAGAAACATCAATGACAGAGAAACATTAACACGTTGTCCCCTGCTGGGGATTGAGCCCAAAACCCAGGCATGTGCCCTGACATCTTAGTGCATGGGTCGACTCAAGCACTGAGCCACACTGGCAGGACTATATAATATTTTTGAAATGACAAAATTTTAGAAATGAAGGACAGATTAGTGGTTCTCAGGAGTTGTGGTGGAAGAAGGAATGGAGGTGAGTGTGGATATAAAAGAACACTACCCAGGATTCTTAAGTTGATTGAACTGTTCAGTATCTAGGTTTGTGGCAAATACACAAACCTACACATGTGATAAAAGCTAACAGAACTAAATACACACACACACACACACACAAATGGCAACACGTGAAACTGGAGAAGTCTGAATAAGATCTGTGGGTTGTATCACTGTCAATATCTTGATTGTGATATTATACTACAGTTTTGGGAAATGTTACCATTGCAGGAAATGGGTAGCCTGTATAGGGAATTCTCTCTTTTGTCTTACAACTGCATATAAATCTGTAATTATTATAATGAAAAATCCAATTAAAAACAAATGCTTAAATCACAGAGTGAGAAAATTGTTTTGTTCTCAATTTCTCTTCAGATTAAAAATAATGGCTTCTCTGGTGCAGGTGTGCCATCACTCCTAGCAGACGCTTCAGCCCTTCAACATGGAAGAGCAATGCCCAGGCAAGAGACTCCAGCTACAATTTAATAACACACTTTCTTCATTTGGTGGTGTTAAGTTGTTTATTTTATCTAGGAAACATAATGTCGAATTATGGACACAGAGTCTGGAGCCAGCCAGGCAAGGGTTCCAATGCCAGTTCCTCCACTTACTAGCTCTGGGCCAGTAACCTAACATCTTTGTACCTCATTGATTTTTCACTCTCTCTCCCTCTCCCTTCCTCTCTCTCTAAAATTTTTCACTCTCTCTATAATTTTTCATCTATAAAATGAATATGAACAGTATTGCTATGAATATTCGTGTACAGGTTTTTGTGTGTTGTGAGTTTTAAATCACTAAGAGAGAAAGAGAGTGAGTGTGTGTGTGTGTGTGTGTGTGTGTGTGCGCGCGCGCGCGCACGCGCGCACGTACATGTGCGTTATGTGTCTGGCACAAAGTGTTAGCTATTATTATCTTTACCATAACAAGGACTGAGGAAAAATCACGTTTTAGAAAGTTTTAGAAGCACAGCTGCAGGCCATACTACCTCTCAGAATGCGCCAGTTCCCCGCTTGGATGCCCGGAGCCCATACTCACCTGCGCACTTGGTGCGGCTGACCAGGGGCGGCCCGGGGCGGCCAGTGCCACCGTCCCCCGGGCGCGTGAGGAGCACGCTGATCTCGTACTCGGTGTCGGGGTCCAGGTGCCACAGCTTGTAGGTCTGCAGGTTGACCGCGTGCACCTCTGCCCACGGGCCGCGCGCCATGCGGTACTCAATCTCCTTGCGCACGATCGGCCCATCGCCAATGATGGAGTTGGTGTTGAGCTGGATGATGAGGTAGGTGGGACCTGCGCGCAGCAGCTGCGGGGGCGCGATGGGAGTGGGGGGCTCTACGAGGACATGGGGTAGAGGCGGAGCCAACGGATGCTGCTGTGAGGTCCCGGGCCCCAGCTCCGCATCCCATCACACCCAAATCCCAAGCGTCCTCCCAGGCCTTTCATGCAACCCCCAGGCCCTCAGCCAGAACGCTTCCCCGCCCCCATTAAATGCCCAGGACGATGAAGGGCCCCCCACCCCAAAGTCTGACCCCAGCCTCACCTCTCAGCCCACACCCTCTCCCTCACTCCCCTCGATCCCCAAGTCCTCGCCTCCAGGAGCTGATCGAAATCCTATTCTGGTTAACCCACGGTCCCTACGGCCTGGCACCACCTTACCGGTT